GCGCACTGTAGCAGTGTGCCACCGGGCCAGCCCGAAGCAATAACTTTTGCATAAATTAACATAAGTATTTAAAACAGTGTCCAGACCCAACAATTCCATTTCTAGTTATATACTCAAGAGAATTGAAAGCACACGTCCACACAAGAACTTGTACGTGAATGTTCACAGCAGCATTATTCAAAATAGCCAAAACGTGGGAAGAGCCCAAACGTCCATTAGCAAATGACTGGATAGACTGGCTGTGCTGTGTGCCCAGGGTGGAGTATTACTCAGCTGTGAGAAGGGACAGGGCGCTGATGTGTGCTGTGGTGTCAGTGAAAACTGTTTGCTAAGTGAAGGATGCCCACAGGAAAGCTCACGTTGTACGATTCCATTTGTAGGAAATATCCCGGATAGGTAAGTCTGCGGAGACAGAAAAGAGATCGGTGGTCGCCAGGGGCCGGGCACAGGGGAAAGACTGCTGTTGGGTACGGAGTTTCTCTGTGAGATGACGAAAATGTTCTGTGTTAGGTAGCAGTGACCGTTGCACTACTCTGTACTCAAAACCGTTTAATTGCACACTTTAAAAGAGTCAATTTTATAGGATCTGAATTATATCTTTAAAAAAACAACATAGAAGATGACCGAAAGCTCCTATGTGAGCTTAAAATTTTCTCTATCAGTTATGCCACATAAAACTGGCTTTACAGCGCTGTCCTGAAGCTTTCCTTATGTGCTACTTGAAGATGATCTGGACTAGCCTTTGGAATGAGTCGATTGGCACGGCAGACTCATCTCCTAAAGTGGAGACTGGGAACTTCACCCTCCGTCCTCTGTTCCACAGGAGACGCAGGTCGAGGTGGCTTCCAGCTGTTGTCCTAGTGGGAAGCAGATACCCATCAAGACGCCGTCCTCTTTAGCCGTGCACGCAGGACCACCCCCATCAGCACCAGCTCCCTGCCCCCCACCCAGCAGTAAAGCACCTGCATTCAGCTCATTTAAGGTTGTGACTTCCCCAACCTGGCCATTTTTAAGTTTGAAAAGTAGAGAAGTCAGTGTTGTCAACAAAATTTAATTCTGTGGTTTCTATATAAAACTGTCAGCTAGATCAATGCCGTCCGATGGGAATATATGTGAGCCATATATGTAACTTAAACTTTCCTAGTAGCCACATTAAAAAAGATTGAAAAATTGAAAAATTAGTTTCAGTAATGTATTTTGTTCAATCCCACATGGACACAGTATTATCATTTCAACGTGTAGCCGTAGGGAAAATACTGCCAAAGCCAGTTGCGTGCACCTGTCTCTTTGTCCTGGGTGTTAGAGGCTGATGTGTGTTTTACACCTGCAAAGCATGGCAGTTTGCACTGGCCAGCAGCCACCTTTTCTGTCTAGCTTGGGCTGCTGTCACCTCTCACACAAGCCCAGCCAAATTTGATTTCTTTCAGTTCCATTGATAGCTAGTTGGAGAACCATCCAAGGCTGAATTCCAGACCCCAAAATGTCCCCCTGATTGAGGGCAGACCAGAGCAGCCAGCCACACGAGTGTGAGAGGCTCAGGGCTCCGAGGCAGAGCAGGGCCTGTGAACTCCAGCACGGGCACAGCAGACAGCCCCAGAGCATCTGCGCGCACTGTCTGCATCTTCAGATTTCTGTTTTGTGCATGTTTTATAGGGCACATAATTATGGTTCCATGTTTGGGGTGCATGCCTGTTTGCTGTGCGGTGTTTGGTAAGAGCTGCGGGGACTCCTGGCATGTCCTGTTAGTGGGAGGGAAAGCCGTGTGCTCACCGCCGAGGCCCTCGTGGGCCAGGTGGAGTCTCACGGGAAAGCGTGGCTGGGTTATTGTAAGCCGTGGTCCTGGGACAGAGCCGGCGGTGATGGCCGCAGCGCATCCTGCTTTCTCCATTTCTGGGTCTGCAGAGTCAACCGGGAGCTTTTCCACAGGCCCGGGACCGTCCTTGGGACCTCTGGGGAGCACAAATGTGGCTCCTGGTGCTGCCTCCTCCCCGTCTGCAAGCACGAGGCCTGGGTCCCCCCAAGGGGTGAAGACCCACTTCCATGACCTCTCAGAGACAGTGACGAGCCCTTTAACTCACAGTTAACCTCCAGAAGATCTTTGTGTGATTCATCCAGGGTCCTTTTTGGTCCCACATTCCTTACGTAAACTTTCTGGTGTGGAGCCCTGAGTCATTCCTGGAATTCTAAAGTGTTGTTGTAACCTCTTTGGAAAGGAAAACTACGCGTGCGCTTGGAGCACTCGGCAGAACCGTGAGCTCCCAGATGCTGAAGTGCTTTTAGCCTCGAGTGTCTGGAACAGGCGCTTTGAGTACGCCTGGGCGCTGGTGTTTCTCTCAGCTTCTTCTCAAATATGTACACACCGGAGGCATGCATCTTATTTTTAACTTAATAGGCGGCAGGTAGAAAAAAAGGTGCCCTTTTCCTGAGGCCCCCGGTGTGCCAGGACAGCCGATGTGTTCAGGACCCCTCGTGTCACTCCTTTCTTCTGGTGTTTAGTTCAAAGCCATCTAATTAAGGTGCCCTTTTCCTGAGGCCCCCGGTGTGCCAGGACAGCCGATGTGTTCAGGACCCCTCGCGTCACTCCTTTCTTCTGGTGTTTAGTTCAAAGCCATCTAATTTGTGAATTTCAGGGTAGAGACAGTGGTGGTCTTGAGGGGCTTGTCTGTGGGGGGATAAAGGGAAAGTGGGTTTGAAGACAGACAGCGTGCCTGCGAGGGAGGGCTGTGGAAGAGGCTTCCTTCCCGGGCACGATCAGCGTGGCTGCTTTTCTGTGCTCTCACGCAGGAGGTTATTTCCACAGATCACGTGGGTCACTTGGCTTTGTCTAAAGCAATTCTGTATCCACGCCTTGTTTTGTTGCTTCGGGGATGTTTGAGACCCTCCAGGAAGTCACTGTTTGAAAACTTCATTTTGATTTCCTTTGGGACGCCGGCGGTTTATGGCTGGGCTCCAGGCCTGCTGACAACTACACCTTCCTAGTGTATCATTTATTCTTACACGTTCAGGTTTTATTTTGGCTAAACTCCTTCAGGAGAGCTGCATGAATCTTGAAATGAGACCGTGTCTGCCTTCATGTGTTAACCCTCGTGGGAGCAATGAACGGGTCAGGGTTTTTAAAAACAGAATAGAAAGAGCAATATGGCTCCTAAAGCGCCTAATACTGACAGTGGAGGGAAAGAATCTAGAACTTAATGTAAACCCCAAAATACGACTTTTCAAAAGGCAGATATCAGCATTAACAGCGACAGTTACCGTGGGCTGCCCTTTGACCCGATTCTGAACCGTCACCCGCCACCCAGGGGCGCAGCACATGGTCCTTGCGATGTAGGAATCGCTTTATAGTTCTGTGCTTTCTGGTTTGATTCGGTCCGAGCTGCACGGTGAGCTGAAGGAAAGCCATGTTTAAGTTGCAAGAGATTTTATCTTCAGTTATGCCATCGTGAGCTTTCTCCAGGGTGACCTGGAAGAGCCAGGCCACTGTCATTTACTGGGTAGATGCTGTCTCCCAGGCAGTTCCCACTCTCTGTGTCTTTTCCTGGATGCGTTTCCTTGTCACACCACTAAACGTTTGTTCCCTGTGTGTGTGTTTCCTACCCCAATGTTCTCAGGACGATGAGGTCGATGGCGCGGGCACCGAGATGAAGATCCTACGCGGACACTGCGGGCCCGTGTACAGTGCGCGGTTCCTCGCGGACAGCTCAGGGTTGCTCTCCTGTTCTGAAGACATGTCCATCCGGTACTGGGACCTGGGCAGCTTCACCAACACCGTGCTGTACCAGGGACACACCTACCCGGTGTGGGACCTGGACATCAGCCCGTACAGCCTGTACTTCGCCAGCGGGTCCCACGACCGCACTGCCAGGCTGTGGTCATTTGATCGGACGTACCCGCTGAGGATATACGCAGGACACCTGGCAGATGTGGACTGTGTCAGGTTCCACCCGAACTCAAACTACTTGGCCACGGGCTCGACCGACAAGACTGTGCGGCTGTGGAGCACTCAGCAGGGGAACTCGGTGAGGCTCTTCACGGGCCACCGCGGCCCCGTGCTGTCCCTCGCCTTTTCTCCCAATGGTAAGTACTTAGCATCTGCTGGCGAGGACCAGCGGCTGAAGCTGTGGGACTTGGCCTCTGGGACCCTGTATAAAGAGCTAAGAGGCCACACAGATAACATCACCAGCCTGGCCTTCAGCCCAGACAGTGGCTTGGTCGCCTCGGCCTCCATGGACAACTCGGTGCGTGTCTGGGACATCAGGAACGCGCTCTGCAGTGCACCTGCCGACGGCTCCTCCAGCGAGCTCGTGGGCGTGTGCACCGGGCAGATGAGCAATGTCCTAAGTGTGCAGTTCATGGCCTGTAACCTCCTTCTGGTGACTGGAATTACCCAAGAAAATCAGGAACATTAATTTTTTGTCTCTGTTGGAACAGACTGGGGCAGTGGTAGAAAGCCTCCCCTGCAGTCTTCCGACAAGCAGAGGTGGAATCACAGACTGTGAAAGAGCCCCTTCCCCTTTCTTCTGGCCCCTCCATCAGCCCCCCAGTGTGGGAGGGCAGAGGGCAGGGCTGGCGGTGGCGAGTGGACACGCGATCGAGAACTGGGGTGGTCCGGAGGGCGAAGGCAAGTTCTCAGAGACCCCGCCGCGGCTGAGTGCCAGCACGTCCGTCTCTGTCCCACTTGGCCAGAGGGCCCGTTGTGTGGCGCTCTCAGAGGCAGCACGGTGGGTGTCCCTGTGGCCAGCCCTGGTGGAAGGGACATCCCTGTTAGTGGAGGGCTGCAGGGGTGAGAGCCAGGAAAAGGGAGGGGAGGATCCTGGGGAAAGTCTTCCCTTTTCCAGAATTATAGAGAACCCGGATTTTTTATTATTGTTATTGTAATTATAATTATTATTATTATTGAGAAGAGGAAACCTAGCACTGGCAGAGAGGGCCTTCTCTGCTTTTTTATTTCAGGTTTGACTCCTGGCACTGGCAGTGATACTTGGAATTTTGAGGTTCAGGGAATTCAGAGAATTTGGTAGCACAGTGTACCAGGAGAAAGGGAAATTTCGGGTGGTAGATTGATCACTCCAGTGGACATGTTTCTGGAGGTGGGTGGCTGGGTGGGTTTGACGAAGAACATTCTGGGCTCTTGCCATGACTTTGGGAAAGAGAGATTCTTTTTTATGGCTGCACTTCTGTTATTAATTCTCTCCCCTGAAAAGATTATGATATAAGATAATCTGGAATGATACGTCACCAGATGGAAAGATGTGGGACTTGCGCGTGGCGGAGCCCCCGCATGCTGTTCCCCTGCACCCGCGAGGTCCACTCCCGCCTACTGCCTGTGGTCCTGGCCCCAGGAGCGCTTTGTGAGATGCACACCCGTCTACCCGTGCTCCCAGGGGAAAGCAAGCTCTAATTCGTGGAGAAAGGATTAAATATTTCTGTTTTCTGAAAAGAGTTATTTTGTATTTTGTTTTTTATTAAAATGTATTTAGTTTCAAACAAAAAGGTGTTGGCATCTCATTTAAACACTGGGGACAGGTGGTGTGCCTGTGCTGTGGTGGACGCTCACCCAAGGTGCCTGCCAGTCGCTGAGCCAGTTCCTGACCGGGGTTGTCCTGCCAGCTGCTCCTAAGTCGAGGTCAGTCCCCACACTTCATTTACTGCTGCGTGACGGGGAAAGAGTGGACACTGGACTCGAGCACAGTGGCTGCCACAAGAGTCCTTGGCCTGTGTGTGGCTGGGCTCTGAAGCCTGCAGATAAGTGCCATGACCGAGGGGGAGAGCGTGGCGTGAAGGCAGCTGGGGAGGAGGAGCACTGAGTGGGCGCCACCAGCTGTCCCGGTGCTGCCGAGAGTCCGGCACGACAAACAGGACAGAGTGTCCATCAGGTGTGGCAGGGAGGAGCCGGCAGTCCCAGCACGAGCAGTTTGGGTGGTGAAACAGAGGAAGTGGTCCGAAATGGGCTGGAGAGTGGAAAGGCGGTAGAACCACAAATACACTCACGTGACAGGTGACGTGTCACAGCCGCGAAGAAAGAGCTGACTTTGTACCACGGCAGCTGAGATAACTGGCTATCCTTAAGGGAAAAAAAGAAATCGGACCCCTGCCTCATTACACAAACCTAAGTTCCAGGTAAATCAAAGAGCTGAATGTGAGTGGTAAACCTGTACATCACCTAAAGGAATATCGGAACCAGCTTGGACAACGGCATGGTGTCACACAATACAGTCACAGAAAGGCATAGCCAGTGCACATCACACTGTCGAGAGTAAAAGATACAGATTAATTCCTGCAGGATGATTTCACGTGCATAGAGTTCGAACCAGGGAAAGCCCATGGTACACACTCGGTGCAGAGAGACGACCGCTGAGAAGGGGCGGGCACCTGCCCAGGAGGGGACACTGAGGGCCAGGGATGCTCTGCCCTTGACCTGGATGGTGAAGGGCTGTGCACCGTGCAGCAGAAGAAGCTTTACTTCATTACATTGAAAACGTGCTCGAGAGTTAAGGAGAGGAGGGGCGGAGAGTGGGGCTGAGTGCAGCCAACACAACACTGTGGCGGGAGCAGGGACCGGGGTGGCGTGGAGGGGGGAAGGGCGCTGTCTGCTGGCCGTTGTCATTTTCGAACAAACGTTCCTGGAGCAGGTGCTCCCAGGCATGTAGACCTCAGCCCAAGCAAGGAATATGTGTCGCCCATGCCCTGGCACACACGCGGCTGCTTGACTGCACCTGCAAGCCTCGTGATTGAAAGATGCACCAGTATTTCATGCACCTTTTTAAAAAATTGTCAATCAAATGATGACTGGTGCTTTCTCTTCACTTAGAAGTTATATTACTATGTTTAAGTTGAGCTCTTTCTACTGCAACTTCCTGCACTTGTTAAGTCGCTCACCAGTTCCTAAGCTTTCCTGCTCTGTGCCCTCAAAGACACGCCTGCTGGAGCCCCTTCACGGGGCACGCCGCGGTGGTCTCATCATGTGTGTTCTGTGTCTGCACCTTCCTGACTTCAGCAGGTGGCTTTCAGACAACGGGCTTCACATCCCTTCCATAAATTGTCCTCAAGCACTTTGCTGACCATGCCAATGCAAGTGGCAGCGCGCAGTCCCGCCTCCTGAACTAATGACCCACTGGCACGTCACAGGTTCCCCCACCGCCCTAAGACGCCGTCCACTTGTAAGCCCTGTCCTCTCCTGATTTCAGAAATGTTCGAAAACGTTTTTAATGATGTCAGACTTAACAGAGGGTAGGATATAAAAACCACTTCTGTATGACAGACTGTGGCATATAATTTTTAATGTTGGTCACTACCCACTAGTTAATTTCAGGGCCCATGAATGAGGCCATTACATGCCAACCGGAAAGTGCCACAGCAGCCCATCTGATGAGAAGCACCCAGGGTGGAGAGGCAGGGTCGGGACAAGCTCGGTGGTGGCATGGGCCACGGTCAGCAGTCCTGGGGCAGGCCTGGCCCTGGATTGCCTGGGCCCTTCCACAGTGTCATAGGTGGGACGCAGGTCAGCTGTAAATCAAAGAATAAGCTTGTGAACCAGTTCAGGTGACTCTGACCTTGAACAATGTGGTCTATTTTGGTTCACTCATTAATATTCACGTGTAACACCTTGTTCACAACATTCAGCTTTGACAGCATTCTTTTCAAGACATTGCAGGGGCGGGAGGCCTCTGGCGAGTTCGGCTGGTACAGGCCCTTTTGTCTGGGGGAAGTCACAGGAATCCTGACCCTACCCTGCACCCGCCTTTCCTGTAGCAGCAGCCTCCGTGCCCACCTGGTTCCAGGAGGAACAGAAGGACATGCGTTCATTCCCCGCAGCCACGTGGACACTGAAGTCGGATGTTATGAAATGCACCTGCCTGTGGGAAGGAGAGCGGGGCCCCACTGCCCAGCAGCGTGCCTGACTCGGGTGGCACTCGGAGAACAGGTGGGCAGGAGAGCTAGACAGCTGTGGACCCCGGCTGGAAGGACATCCAAATCCCTGAGGGCCTGTCACTCGCCGGCCCTCCATCTGCCCATGCCACGCACGTGCCGCTCTGTGCACATTTGGGAAGAGTTTGCCCCGACGACCGAGATGCCACGAAGGAGATCACTGGGTTTCTGGACTGCGCACTGCACATTCTTAATGTCGTTTCATCTTGCCAGCAAACCTGGTGGGTACCAATGTGTCCACATGCATACAGGGGCCAACAGGCCCAGAGGGGCCAGGTAGAGAATCCAGGGGCACCCACAGGGCTGGAGCCCGACAGCAAGTAAACGCTGGTCCCTGCCGCACAGCAGCCCAGACTAAGCAAGTGCCAGCAAAGACGCCTTCCTTAGTCTCGAGGTAGCATTTAACAGGAGGGAATTTTATCAGTCAAGTGGGGCCCTGATATGACTTAGAAATATTAAGTGAAACGTACAGAGTATTATTAAAAATATGGTACAGCCAACAAGTTTGCTAGAAAAAACAGGTTTAAGATCCCAAGGTCGTCTGAGGTCATGAAGATTGACCGTGGTGATATTTGCACAACCCCGTGAGTACGTTAAAAGCCACGGAGCCGTGGACTTTGAGTGGGGGGGTTGTACAGCGTGTGAATGAGACCTCAGTAAAGGTCAGGCGCCCTGCAGGAGACGACCACACTGGGCCTGTGACTGACGGGAGCGCCATCGAGTGGACGGGCAAGTGCAGGCAGGTGGTGGTGCCCACGCGCGGGACTCACAGCGGCCGTGCCCCTTCTGACTCTGGGGACACCTCCCCTCAACTTCCCGTAGGGTTAAGGCCGAGTTCACTGGACGATGGTCACAAATATTAACTCAATGCGCCAAGTTTTGCATTCTGAATTGCTCCGGTTTCTTTTGATATAGTTAAAAAAGAGATTTAGGCTTCCTAAAAGGGTCTCCGAAAATTTTTTAAATGCTTTCTCCTGATTGAGCCAATGTTACTGGTTTCCCAATGCTCCTACGTTCAGGTCAAATGCACATTAACCCCAAGTTGTCCTCAGGGCTTACGAGTTTATGTTGATAAGATGCTTTGGTCTCTGAGACTAAAACCATAGGCGAGTGCAGCAAGGGGCAGGACACTGCCATCCCTCCTCGAGCTGAGGACACAGTACAGCGACCCGGGAGACATCAGCTGTAAGGAAATGCTGCTGAGGACTTCACCTGCTGCACGACCATCGTCTTGTTAAGGGCTGCTTAAATAGAGGCACAGCAGAGAAGTTTAAAAGAAAACCAAAAAAACCTCTTAAAGGAAAAAAGTCTCCTTAATTAGAAACATTTCTCTTTATAAAGTACTTTTTTTAATCCCCATAAAAGAATAAGGTCCCTAGATTGTGATATTATTGAGAATCTGTCACACCCGGAGTTCAGCTCGCTCTTTGGGGACCCTTATCTTCTCTCTTTTTCTCAGCCACTTCCCAAATTGTTTTCAAGTGTTTTGTCTTTTCTCTCCTTGCAAAGAGTTCCCAGTCACAAGACTCTGCGAGGGGTGCCCAGGGTGGGCTCTACAGACGGACAGACAGCCTCTGCATGGTGGCGCATGCCACGCACAGTGCTCCCGGAGCCCTGGAATGCAGGATGTCCCATGGTGCACATGAGGGGACAGAGGATCTACTGCGGGGTCCTTCCAGCTGCAGACACCAAAGCTCACAGATGGCCGCTGCTGCAGCTGGGAGTCCTTCTGTTTATGTGGGGTGCCCACCCCAGCTGCCACCCAAAGTGGCACCATGGGGAGGACACCTGAGGGGAGCCCTGTCTGTGGATGCAGTGTTCTGCAGTGTTTAGGTGTGGCTGGGAAACTACGAGGTCATGTCAAATATGTCCTTACACTTAGCACTAAGCCCCCCACCTACTCAGAGATGGCACTGCTTCTGGAAGGAGTTGTCAAGCCCGTTTGATGGAAAGTAAGTGTTTCACGCATCCAGATTTATTTAACTGGTACCTCCATTTTTCGGTTAACAGAGAGGCCGGGCTTGCACATGGTACATACTCAGACATCAGTTGAATGGAGATGTTTGCTAAGCCTGCTTGAAAAATTGATCTGGTTTTATTTCTTGGTAAACGCGCCCAATAGTTCAAGAAATTCAACATTAATGCCCTGGATCTAGACTATGAAGAAAAAATGAATTTCCTCTCAAAGTCAATTTATTGAGAACATCACTCAAATCACATTTTACAGCAAATTTCAACACTTGGTCTAAAACTTAACTCTTATTTTTTCATGTTATGTGTTACCTGATCTGATGATATGGGCCCAAACAAAGCCATAAAATTGGCATGGCAAAATGTTTTTTTAATCATTCATGTACTGCTTTGAGACCTGTTCTTATAGGTTTTATATTCCTTTGATACTTTTTTTTTTTGGCAGCTGGTCTGTACAGGGATCCAAACCCTGACCTTGGTGTTTCAGCACCGCACTCTAGCTGACTGCGCTCACCAGGCAGCCCTGAGACTTATTTTTATATTGGAGATATTTGCCATGTTTTTCTGCCACTTTATGGGCCTCACCCAACCA